GGTGGTGCTGATTATCTTGCACGTATTTGGAATCCATATGTAACACAAAAAAATATAACCATTTTAGAGGGACATCATGCAGCAGTGATCGATGTTAAAATTAATGAACGTTTAGCACAATGTTATACATTTAGTCAAGATGCTGTATGTTTTTTTTAGTTTTTTTTCTTCTATAAAAATTTTAATTTTAATTCTTTTTATTTCATTATGACAAAGATGGTTAAAGCTTGGGATTTAAAAGAATTCTTTTGTCTTCAAACAATATCTATTCGATTTCCGAGTACATTAGGTGGAAAGAAACCAACATTTGGTCCATTTCCAATGGATTTATATCTTAATAAATCAACTAATAATACTGAAACAAGTTTACCCGGTGGTCTAGTTTTAGCATGTAATGATTATTTATGTTTAATGAAATTAGGACAAGATCTATCTAAAGATGGTAGTCTAACTGAAACACATACAGCATCAATTAGTTGTGCAGTATATAATCCTAAACTTCGACAGGTACTTTTTTTTCTAAATTGAAAAATATATTTCATTGTATGTATATATTTAAGTTAATAACATGTGCAGATAATTCAAGTATAGGTGCATGGGATATTGAATCAGGACGTAAAGCATATTTTTTAATTGATGCACATGATGGTGAAGAAATTACATGTATTTCTATTGATCGATCATGTCGAAAACTTGCAACAGGTGCTCGAAATGGTGTTATTAAGATTTGGAATAGTGCTAATGGACAAAATCTTCTTACATTACCAAGTGTACAAGATGCAGAAATTACGGGTATTCTATTTTTTGATAAAGGCATTATTACAGTTGGATGGTCAAGAAAAATTGTTAAATATATAGATATTATTTCTGAAGTAAGATATTATTTCTTTCGATTTTTGTTTTTTTTCTTTTTTTTGTTTTGATTACTATATATATACATTTGCAGGATATAAATGATGATCAGATGAATACTGGAGAGGTACTTTTGATCGAATAAATAAATATGACATATGTTCACAGAAGGATTGATGCACAAATTGAATTAACACATTAATATATTTGTTTTTTTAAAATAGCAACATGTTTGATTTGAAAGAAAAATTTAATAATAAATTTCATTTGAATTTTTTATATTTTTATTTAGTTTGTTGTACCTAAAGCTGATTTATCATGGCGTGGTTTACAAACACATCGTGATGATATCTTATGTTTGGAACATTTATTACCGATTAGTAATATAATGTGTACAGCTTCATATGATGGTGAAATTAATGTATGGAGTATTGATACAGAAAAATTAATTATGTGTTTACGTAAAGGACCGATAACTGAATTGTAAGAAAATCATTTTTGATTATATTTTTCATATTATTATTGATTGAATTTCTAGTCGTCGTTCACCATCAAATTATCGTCGATCATCATCACGTTTTCCAATTACACGTGGTCCAGTACCAGTTGATAAACTTCTCTTTCTTCGACATCGTGCTAAAGAAAATATGAAATTTGGTGCGTAATTATTAAAGAAAGAACGAAAACTATCACTTTTATTTCTCATATGAATAGGTGTTTTAATATCAAGTGAAGGTGGTAATTTATACTGTTGGTCACTTTATGGTGAACGCAAGGATATGGGAATGTTTTACGGACCATCAAAACGAGGTGAATCAATATTAGCTATGTGTACTGATGCAACCAATCGATATTTGATTTGTGGTGATACTCATGGTGAAATGCGTGTATGGAATATAGAAAACTATTGCTGTTCAATAACGTCACCTATTCCATTTGATTCAACAGCACCACCACTTGTACGTTTTTGGCAAGCACATCTTTCACCAATTATCTTTTGTGAATGGACTGATTATAAAGGAAGTGGTGATTTTATATTAACTAGCTCAACAGATCATACAGCACGTTTATGGACAATAAATGGAGAAGAACTTGGAATATTTGGTCAAAGACAACAATGGGATATTGAATTGTTACTTTCATCAAGAGCAATAAATGATGATGAACAAATTAGAGAACAAAGTGAAAATAATAATGAAAATGATCAAAATGGTTTGTACAAATAGAAATCATAATGATTATGTATACGATTTATTTTTAATTTTAATAGAAACGAAATTAACAATCACGGATAAAACTAATAATTTACAAGTGCCTGAAATTGCTATAAACAGAGAAATGGACGCTAAACGACCATTATCATCATATTCTCAAAATTCTGAAGTATATTTACAAATGTATATATATATTTTTTTTTTATAAATATTCCTTTGTTGTACTAGGCTACTAACATATCTAAAATAACTGCATCTACAGTAAATAAGGCAACATTACCACCGGTACGAACACTTCATTGAATATTTATTTATTTTTTTCTTGTAATTTCTATGCTTCATAAACGATTTCACTGATGAAAAATAGTTTTTATTTTTCTGAAAATATTGCAAAACTATGTTGAAATCTTGAATAAATATTTTCATAAGATCAATGTGAAATATATTTTAGCGTGTAAGTGGACTTGGCTTATCAATCGAACGAGGATTAAATCAACAAAAATTAAAACGACAAGAACGACGTCATCGTTTTAGTGAAATTGATGGTCGTCATTTAACCAAAGGTGGAGTTTGTTGTACACCATTCGCTTTACTTTCAACTCAGGTATCAAATTTAATTTATCTATTTGTATTTATCTTGATTAATTTTGACTCTATTGATTAATCTAGGATATTGATGATGCTATATCTAATGTAAATTATCAGAATTTTCAACCAAAATCAATAGTTTTCGAAGAATTATACATGGGCAATAAAAATGATTTACCATCGACAACAACTGCAACATCTAAAAGTCGACTTATTCTTCCACCAATAATGTCACGTCAACGAACATCATCATTTGCAAGTAACATAACATCAATACCAGGAACACCATCCGATGTTGATGCAAATAATCGATTTCCATTATCATCAAGACAAACTACATTTATGAAATCGATTTCCGAAATATTATAAATACTTTTTTTTTTAAATTTTTGTTTTCTTTATTATTAAGAATTGTTTATGTCCAGCAACTTTTTTTTTTTTTTTTAATATATTTTTTTTCATTTTGTTCTTCTATTCAAGTTATAATTCTCGCATTATATTCCATCTTATTGTCAAACAAATAAAATATGACAGTTAAGACTTAATCAATTAAAAGTCATGTAGAAAAAAACATTCAATCTACATCGAGTAATCAAAAAACTCCCACAGCTACAGTGTAACATTTTATCCTCACTGTTTTTCTTCTTTCATAATGAAGTGACTGCTGTCGATAGACAAGGTTATGTTTCATTTCGTACAATTGATGATAGAGTTCATCGATTTTCAAATAAGTGAGGAGTCGTTGAAAGATGATCCTCGAAGTGATTGCCCAATAACCGTCAGTACTCAACAAAATATTAATACTATTAAAGATCTGGTAGATGATGATCCGCATATTAGTATTGATTATTTTGCTACCATCTTAGATTTATTACGCAATAGTGTAGATATTATTCTCAAGCAATGCCTTGGCTTACTAAAAATATCGTCAAGATCGATATTTCATGATGTTACTCTACAATATCTTCGAGATATGACAGAAGCTTTTGGTCAAATATCAGATTAATGGCATACACTAGAGTTGTCATCCAAGACTAGCGGAAACAGGTGAATTCACAAAGTTTTTTCATGTGATAAAATTGATATTAGGAGCAAAATTTTGTTCTGACTACCTATAGATTGTTACCATTGATTTTTTGGAATATTTCTATTGCCAATAGTTTTATTTCTAATTCGATTACATGACTCTTGAAGACAATAATACAGGCAAGCATTGGATTTGTAATCTGTCGAGAAGTTTTGAACTGATTCTGTTTGTAGGATCCAAATTTTAGACGGATCAGATCTGGTCGATTCAAAAAATCTTTTAGATCGATAAGAACAGGTAAACACCGACCAGTCTGATAGGTCATTACTATTTTGATTAATGAAACAGGCTAAAAAAAAACACATGTATCATGCTTTTGTCGCTTAGGTTTTTACAAATCCTTAGGAGTAAAAAAACCATATCCCAGTCGTCGTATATCTGTTTGGTTTCTCAAAGATGAATATTTGATATTTGTATAAATAGCATGATAAAAAAAAAGTCATTTACCGATTAACTGATTGACAAACTCCAAATCTTGAATCTTCTCATTCAACTTATACAGACGAATCTAACATGTATCTTTGAACGATTATCGAAACCTAAATTTAATCTTCAACAAAATATCTATGAAATAAGTTTATCTCAAATATTACAGTTTTGATTGTAATTTAAAAAAAAAAAGAAAATGTTATTAACTAAAGAAGTGAAACAATAGGAACAAACAGAACAAAATAATAAAACGAGCAACTTTCGAAACAACACTTTGACTATTTTGATAAAAGTATGCACACGTGCTCTTAACAAGTTTTATTAGAAAAAAAAAATGGTACATTATCAACAAAAGACCAATCAATCCAACCGGATCGGTTACAACTCTGCTTGAAGCACCAAAAAACAGCTCCGAAACAGACTTGTAGATGAATCATCGCTGATACTACTCGAATTCACTACTAACTTCATCCACGTCAAGCAATAATTATCCTAAGAATTCAACAACAATTTCATCTAACTAATATCAATGATTTTTCTGTTTTCGAAAACCAAAATTTGCAACTAAATATTTATTATTTCTTTTTAAAAATAAATTCTACATATAAATGCACAAAACACAAAATTTAAAAGGCACCAAAAACACAAAATGCATATTTTCATTAAAACAAGATTCAAATATCATTGAGTACTATCAGACATACACCCACATAAACAAAACAAAAAACGCAATAAAAGTATAGAAAATAAAATCGATAATTATAAGTGAAGAATAACCATCATTCATTGGAATATGAAATTAGCCCAAAAAAAGAAAAATATACGTATATTCATAAAACTTGATAAATACTGAGATAATCATAAGTAAAAAGTTTTTTAAAATATGGTTGAGGATGAGATTGAAGAGTTTGACATGCAAGAGTTGTACGTGTTAAGATTCTTTGATCTTGTTCATCAATATCATACATTTCAGGAAATGAACATCCTTTTGGACGATTTGTTATTGTACACCAATGAGATTCATAAATATAATAATCAACATGATATTGTTTTAATATTGAATATATATAACGAAGTGGTTTTCTTGAAAACATTGTATAAACAAGTTTAACACGATGACGAATTTTTCTATGTTCATAATGAGGATGAACAATAATTGGACGACGTGTTGATAATTTTAAATTAGCCATTGTTGGCATTGTACCAGCAAATATTGATTCATTTCCAGTATTTAAATTAATCCATTCAATCATTTTTTCCATTGGATAATTAGAATATTCACCTAGAAAAATAATTATATGTTTCTTACTTTCGTGTTTAAGGAATAAAATATTTGTGATTGCAAAAAAAGATAAGAAAACAGAAAACAAATTTATCTGATTTAGAAGTAAATGAAAAAAATAAGTAGTGAATAATCATGATGAACTGATCAGATAATGTTTGTTTTATTATTATTATTTACCTTTTATTTTCAATTGTGCTTTGATATTTTGTCGTCCTTGAATACTCATGCTGAGAAGAATCAAAATAAAAATTATTAATTTCCATTTTTTCCATGCAATAAATTTTCTTGACCATAATTGTTCATTCATAAATAAACTTATCAAAAGACATAATTGTGGAACAAGAAATAATTTTAAACGCATTATTAATAAAGCCATCAATAGATAAGCACCTGTTTGAATAATATGATAATAATTCCATATTTGTTTATTTTCATTATTATTTTTTTTAAATATATCGATAATAAAATCATATACTAAACGACAGATGATTATCATTGAAAATGGAATAAGACCAGTTCGACATAATTTTACTATTGTTTCCATATCAATAAAATCAAATTCTTTTGCACATGTATACAGTTGAGTATCAAATGTTCGAAATGTTGAGGATAACTTTGACCTTAATATATCCCAAATATGAGCATCATCATCAGCTGATGAAAAAAGAAAATTAATTATGACAAATTTAATTAAAATAAATGCAACAAAAAAAAGAATCATTCGACGAATAATAATAATAATCCATCGACATGATTGGAATGAAAATGATGAATGAAGAAAAAAATTATCCACAAGACAAACCAAATAAAATGAAAATAATGTTATTGAAAATAGAGAAGTTAGTAACATTCGATTACCAAACATTAATACAGCTGATATTATTAATGAAAGAATTTGAGCACATAGAATAAAGAAAAATTGATGGAATGGTAAAATATTAAGTATATACAGAAGACCAAGTGATAATAATTGAGTAGCTAATGTAAATTGAGCAACTAAACATAAGAATGCGATAATGATTGCAAATAGGATAGTTATCGTTAATTTTGAAAAAAAAAATGTTAAGTTTTTGTTTTCGAAATACGTTTTATATCATTAAGAATGAACAAATCATATTCACTCATTGATAATGTTTATCAAAGAGAGAATAGAGAAAAGAAAATAAGAAGCTTTTCAAGTTTTTAAAATAAAGAAAAATTGTGAAACATCAATCTAAAAATTAAAAAAAAAGAAGAATGCCTTTTCTTAAGGTTTTTGAGTTGCGTCAAGTAAAACTATAACACAATTAGTATAGACGACAATGATGAACATCTTTTAAGTACTAGTCTTGAATCTTGAGACATGAAACAACCAGAAGGTCACCAAAAAATCACTAATTGTTTCATTCGAACAAGTAGTCAATCCTATTGTGTTTTAGTGTCCTGATATTTATTGATATGTGTTTATTACTTTGTCAAGATATGATATTTCAATCTATGGATCAATGGAAAATGAATCTATTATAATATATCTTGTCACCATAGAATGAAAACTATGGTACTAATGTCTATTTGATCTCCCTTATGCTATACTTCGAAGTGAACACCAACAAACTTTCAAAATATAGCTTTATATTTGAAACTAATATTTCAAGTAAAAAATTACTTTTCGCGATGTAAAATTAGATGTAAGTGGTAAATTATGAACTGTTATGTCTCGTTGGCTTTTTTATCATACATTACTATATTCAAATTTGATCTATTCTTTTGAAAACATGGCACTCAAATATTATTTGATATTGCTTGTGATAATGAAGAAAGATTCGATTTGAAGTAATAGATAAATTTAATCCGATGTCTTATTTATATTTCATTTAGTTAAAACAAATCGAATCATGATGTACTCTTCGAAAATAGCCGTCAACAAATATGCAAAACTCCATAGATAGGAAAGAAAAACAAAATAAGCAACTGAATGATGTAGAATTAACTGATTTTGACATGTCAATCCTTATTCAAAAATTTATCATCAAAAAATCTTGTATATCTATTAATATTTTCAACAGTTAAATAAAATGTCATGCTGCTCAACATCGTAAAAAGGTATTACAGTCTCAGATTTCATCAGAACATTGACATAAATGAATAGTAATCAATTGTCTGATGGAGGTGCTCATTATATTGTTCAAACACTTTATGAGCAATACAAATTTGAATAATCTTCATATTAGTAAATATAAAATTAATACTAGAGAAGCTAAACTTCTGGCTCAAGTTTTATATATAAATTGAACATTGTAGAACTTTTCCGTTGAAATGAACTCTATATCTGATTATGATTTCTAACAGCACATTCAAGCCTAATTTAAAACTTAACTGTGACTAAACTAAAATTTCACAATAATAAATCCATTACAGATCTTCTATTATCACTTTTTATGAACACTTGGAAATGAATCACAAAGTAAACATTTTAAATATTATAGATTTTGAAAACACTGATAAATCTATTAGACTTATCGAGAGTTCTTTAATGTTCAACAAAACTAGCACTCAATTGCATGTATTTAGAAATTCATTTCAATCTCAAGGATAACATCGACTACGCTAAGTAAAAAAAATAGTCAAATTAATTTTCTAGATTATTAGCTTATCTAATAACGAGTGAGGCAAACCAAATTGCCTATCTTTGTGACATCTATTGTAATTAATTGTTCAACCATATCTAAAAATAAAAAATTTCGAAAGTAAAAATGACTAAAAAGGAACTTTGATCGCAGCTATAGTTTTTGTGCAGACGTACAACTTTCCTGAATTTTGTTCGAAGTTGTAACCTATGATAATCATCAATATTGTTTGACAATCAAGGAATCAGAAGAATTGTATGATTTCACAAAAACTGTACCTATGAACAAAGTCACTTTTTTAATCATATTGTACTTTCGAAATTTTTTATTTCCAAAATGATTTATATCAGATAAGTTGTCTATATGAGAATATAGAGTTTGGCTTGCTCTTTTCGATGCTGTACTTTGTTTTTTAAATAAGTTTGAACAGTTGATTACAATAGACGTCACAAAGACCAGCCATTTAATCTGTCTCATCCATTATATAAAACCTATATTACTTTAGTTTTAATTTTTGAACAATAAAAATAGAAAAAACGAATATTGAGTTCTATGATATACTATCCCAAAGTTTCTTAGTATAATTTAATTTTTGTCAAAGATACTTACATTGCCATGGCAACATGTATAAAACTGTGGAACCAATAAGCAATAACACAAGTTTTATTTTGTGCCTATGAGATATTAAATTTTGTGGTGAGTCAACATGTATTGATTCATCATTTTTCTTTATATACCCTATGAGAGATTTAATAGCATTAGTATTAGTCAAAATTTGTTGTTGTTGCAAAATATATGTGACAACAAACAGTTGAAGAACATGAAATGGAAATGAAAAACTTTCACGAAGTGGTGGTGTCCTAAAAAATATAATAAGAAAACTCTTCTTAAAAATATTTTCTTTAAAAGAAATTTACCACATAACTCTTGTTGCTTCATCATGATTGAATATATAAGCAAGTGTTGTTATTATTCCACCTAATATACTTTTTGATAAATATGTTCCAAATAAAAATAAAATACCAAGTAAAAGTCCATTTAATATAAAAACACTTGTTACATAGAAATAAGTTGGTTCTTTATGTCCTTCACATGATAAAACTGGACTCATAGTTTGACCTCGATCAATCCGATAACATATTTCTGTTAACATACCTTGAGAATTCATAATACGATAAATTAAACTAAGTAAAACTTCTGGATAAAGATTAAAACGTTCTAAAACATTAATTGTTGTTGGTGCTTCTGTTCGATTATCAGATATAATTGATAAAAAACCTTCTATAAATGATGATGAATCAATAGCAATCTGTTTAAAATATGAATAATAGAGACCCATTTCCGTACGAAATGATAATTCACGTTCTAATGTTGATAAATGTGAAAAATGTTTATCATTCTCAAATAATTCATATATATATATAAAATGAAAATAGGATATAACTAATGTAAGAATTAATAAAACCAAAGGATAGCCAAGAGAAGATAGCTATAAAGAAAAATCAATTTAACTGAAGTAAACATTAGATATTGATAGTTTTCTTTTTTTTTGTTTTTCAAAGAAATAGAAAATCAATATATTTAAAATGTACGTAGTTGTACGCATAATAACTTAACTAATTAGAATAAATTAGCTAATCTAACAATAACTTTTGCAGTTGATTTAATCTTTTTTCTATTCACTGTTTTGTATGACAATCACTTGACTTATATTTCAGCAGTATCATGAAAATTTATGATCAATATACCTTGGGAATTATATATGCGTACTAGAGAATAAATTAACTCAAACTATGACTTAGTTGATGAGCGATCTATCTTTTCAATTAGTTTTGTTTTTCAATAGATGCTACACATATAAAAATAATTGATCAGAATAAATATACAATAAGAACAATTCATATGTTCATTTTATTTTGATAAATCTTCTATCAATAATTGTTTGATTATGAAAATACCTTTATCTGAGAATAACTTTTATTTTTTTCTGCTCTTGTTTCTGTTGATGAAGGAATCTGTTGTTTATTCTTTGTTCCTTGACGATGTCGAACTGTCGATTGACAATCTTTCGGCATCTGAAAAAATAAATTTGATCTAAAAGAAAAAAAAAATCAAAAAAAGTTATTTTTTTGTTTTTATTTTGTTGCTAATCCAATCAAATTAAATCGAATATCGCCATGAAGTTCATTCACTTTTTGTTTTACTTCTTGAGTCACACGAGAAAAAAAACTTTCATTATTCAAATCCCCAATGAATTTTGCTTGTGGTCGTTTTGTACTACCATTCAATTCATATAATCGATTGCTCTTCGATACAATATAGGCTATGTAATGGTAGCCAACTCTACCACTATCAATCATTTCGGTTTGTCCTTGTTCAGCTGTTTCTTCATGAGCTTGATGAATATTTTTATCATTTAATAAGACTATAGCTCGTTCATCAGCAGTCATTGTTTTAGTTTTTTCAAAAAATTCAGCCAATGGAGAATTTGGTTTTAATATCACTTTATCCAAATTATTACCGATTGCATGAAGAAGAGCAATAAGACAACAACAACTATCTAATTCATCAATTTGTTTAATTGTCCATAATTTATCATCCATCACCGGTTGAGATACGTTTGAAGTAGGTAACGAACCACTGTCTGGATAAAGGAAAATATAAGCATATATTGCATCATTACATGAATAATTTTCATCTAGTGAATAAATTTCAATAAAATCAAGTGAATTAACATCGACACCTAATTTTTCCATATAGGTCTGCCATAAATCAGGATCTGATTCAAGTGCATGCCATGCATTTGATGAAGACATCTGAAATATAAAATGACTGATCAGTGAAGTATTGTTTGTTTGTTTTTTTTTTGTAAAAATAACAAATCGAAATTTAAAAAAAAGACATGTAACCACGGGAAATAGCAACACATGATACAATGTTGAAAAAACAATGCATATCAGTGACTGTGTTTGGCATCATGATATGTATTGAATTGTTTCAGTTACGTTAAGAATGAATTATTATAACATTCGTGAGCAACTTTATTAATGAAAAATATTTGAAGGATTATTAGGGAATGGAATGTCGACTACAGAAAGATCAATTCATTGTTCTTTCCATCAAGAACAACAACAAAAAAAAATGAATATATAATACGAGCAGCAGAAATTGATTAAAAAACTTCATCATCCTGGCGAACGAAAAGAGAACAAGAAAAGAATGATTGGTGTTATATGACAACAAATACAGTGGACATTCTAACAAATGTTATAAAGTCGACGGAGGTCGCTTGTCAACAAAAAACTGTTGAAGAAATATATTCAATGTTTGTCAAATAAAAACAGAAAACATAGAATTTTTAATGTAAACAATAAGAGCTTGCTATCAATAACTGGACATAAATATTAAATACAAGAAAAATTTTAAGCATCTTTACCAAAATAAATTATGAAAAAACCATTTTGTCAAAAAACATACTGAATGAAAGTTGTACAAAAGAATTTGTCAAAAGATCGGATTGGATTTATTAGTAAAAATCAGCCTCATATGAAAGATAAAAAGCTAAAAGAAAGTATTACTAATCATACGTATATTAACTAGTCGAATAGACATCATGACACTAGTAGAGTTGTTTAAAAAAAAAGCAATAATAAGGTTATAGTAAAGTATTTAAACAAAACTATGTTACTATATGAAGTAGCTATGTATCAATAAATTGTATTTACTCCTGAAGAATATTTATTTCCTTATCAATAAGTCATACAAAACCAAGAGTCTACCATATTATCACTGAATTTGTCTTTAGTTTTTTGCTCTCATGTTGTTTCTCGTTTGTTGTCATAGCTACATTTTCAATTTGTGTTCACGTGCTTTTGATAACTGAGATCTATTAGAAGAAAAGTCCTTTTTTAATCAACAAACAATGCTATTTGTATTTTAGTTGCGTTATTTACAGCTGAAAAACCTATTCTTACGAATATAGTATCAGCTGAGTATGAACTTTTATCTTCTGTATCTTAAAAATCAGTAATGAAAAAGAAAGGTTCCCTATTTTTTCCCTGATTGATTTGATCTCATTCTTTATCTAGTAAATTTAATTTGAAAAGAGATTGTTGATTTTATTATATCATGTTGTATAAAATAAATTTAAGGGCCTTGATTATTTTTTTTTGTTTGCTTATTGATATGTTTTCTGATGACCTATTTTTTTTTTGTTTTTCTCAAAATTAGTTTTGGACTCGAAGAATCAATAAATAATATCTACTTTTGAGTCAAGCCTATACATCTGTTATACAGTTTTTGAATACAATTTCTTAGTATTAGAAATCTTAGAATTACTAAATCGTTCTATAATATTCTTAATTATACAAGATAATGATTAAAATGTTCCAAAATCGAATTGAAATCATTTTGAAGAATATGAAATTGATTAACCAACTCTTGCATAATATAAATGATCAATCGTTTGTTTTTATTTTTGATTAAAATTTTTCGTTGCAACTACAAATCTTGTTTATTAAATTTTAATAAATTATACAAAGCAACACTCAAACAAATGTCTCGATAGTTTGACTTTTTGATTGTTTAACAATTAATAATGGTATTTGAGATTGGTCTTTCGACAAAAACGGAACGATTTCTAGTTTAGGTGAATTGTCTTTAATAGGAGTATAAGTAACCGGTAGTACCAAAAATGATGATTCTTTTGTATTTTCATTATTTTTTTCATTCATTTGCAAAGAATAATTTGCTGATGATCGTCGTTCTAATTCACGAATACGTTCTTGCAAGTTTTCAATACGTTTTTCCAATAATTGCTCACGTGGACTAGGTTTGAAATTTTGATTAGATGCTAACATAGATTCATATTCCGTCAAATCCTATGAATATTATATAATATTATTAGAAAAATATTTATTAAACAACAAAAAATTAACGTTAATACTTGATGACTTACATTATCTTTGTTAGCACGTTTAGATCGAGTCCAAAAATGTACAGAACCATTTTCACACAGAAGAATAATAACAGCAATAAGACTACCAGCAAGAAGAAGAAAAAATGCTGATACGAAGTTTAGTGTCTAAATGAGAGAAAAACAAAATTATAAACAACAAACATTATTAAAAAAAAACAAACACTTTCACCTCGAGTGGTCGACTACTACGTTGTGATTGTTGATCCATATTAGATTTACAAGCACCTGATAGTAAAATAAAAATGTCTATTTTGTTAAACTTCATTCAAATAGAATTTTTTAACCTGTAAACCAAAACCGTCGAAGACGTTCAATTTCACCTAAAACAAACGCTAATTAAATTTATTTAAAAGATCAAGAGATTTCAAACCAGAATGATGCATATCAATAATTTCTTTATTAATCATATCTTTGAATTTTGATTGCTTTGGAAATCCAATACCATAACCAGTCATTGCATACCAATTTCCAACAACACGTAAATTGCATTCACTATCTTGTCCACTTTGATAATCGAGAACAACTGCATCATATAAAAATGCATGTAGTTCTCTACAAACATAAAACAAGAATTAAGTGAAAAGATTAAAATGAAACACACAAAAAAAACATGAATTTTTATTTCTACCCAGATTTGATTGCTGCGATTCCTTCAGAAATGTTTCTCTTCATAAATCGTTTCAAATATGAATATAATTCTTTATGATTTCTTTTGACAACTTCATCAGTGCTCTAAACATAAGAAAAAACAAGTTGACTATCGAAAAATTAATCGGAAATCTTTGTTTTTTCTTCCACTGTTTATTATAAATAGAACAATGTACAACAAGTATAAATCGTGATTTTTAGTTAATGATCTCCTAATCCTAGTTGTTTAAATTGAATAGAAATACGAGAACTTAATTTTATTCCAGAATTTTATGTGATCGATTATTAAGATAGACTTAGAATTTTTTATTACAGAATTTACAAGTTGAATAAAGATTGAACAAAAAATGAGTGTAAAAGTTTGATATGTGTATTTGAGACCCTCAGTTTGTTTCATAATAAAGATGAAACTTTCGATAACAAGTTATGTACGAATGCTATTATTACATAACCTCTTTTAATAACAAGAACCGGATAAAATAATAGCGGATAATCAACAAATCGATCAAAATATCCGATTCATTATCTACTTAAATAGATTATTAGAGATACAAAAATTTATATTTGAATATACGAAAGAGATTCACACAGTTCTCTATCTATTAAAATCATAAGCCTGAATTGATTAAACATTTATATAGTACAATAACAACTTTTTGCAGACCTACTTCTTTACACGCATGCAAAATCAGAAGCTTGAGTATTGTTCAGTAAAAAAGTACATTGATTTGGGACGTTATTCATCATCCAATATTTATCAGCGTATGGTGGCAATCCTTTATTACAAAGCAGAGTATTTAAATAGGCTTGTTACTTTAAAAATGGATAATTAAACATTGATGATGATCCGACAGTGGGCTGACAAATTACTGCTACTAACGAAACAACTATTAAACCTGTTGGAGATTTAACAATCGAGAACCGTCGAATCACGATCCAGAAAATACCAAACATTCTAGATATTTCTTTTGGCATCAGGCATAGCATTATCCATGATCAGTTACGAATAAAACTTTTTTTTTTTGAATGATAACTGGCCATCAAAACTGTGAGAAAAAAAATCTACTGACAAAGTTTCATATTCATATTCTTGGATTATACGAGAATAATTCTCAAAACGTCTGTACCACTGAGTATGACAATCACTAAATGATATTACACATATCTTTTGATAAAAAGAACACATCCAGATATTAGAAAACAACAACGAGGTATAATTTCGGCTGTTGTCATTTTACAACATGACGATGCTTCATCACATACATCAGACCTTGTTTCTTGTATTACTAAAGATTTGAAATAGAAATTACTTCGTCATCTACCTTAGTCTTCACATCTAGTTCCAGATTTAAAGAATCAACTCAAACGAAAGCAACACAATGATCGAAGTTCATTCGGTTCATCATTCTATCAGTGTCTGAACCCTCTATTTGAATATGACCTCACAGTAGCTATATAACAATCTCCAGATTGTTATCGAAAGTACCTTACGACAGAGGGATGATACTTTGAAAAAGAAAATATATATTTATAATAATAACTCATTTAACTTTTTTTTTTTATAAAATGAGTCTCGGAACGTTTTGAATATCCTACGTAATTATCGTTATGGTAGAAATATTTACGGCAAAGGATAAAAACATAGTATGAGTTATGTATTGATTTGATACGTATATTATTTATAAAGTTTCTATTACATTTTGCTTTCTATCGATTCTTAATAATTAGACTTTTTCTCGGTTCATTCATCATTTTCATATTTCGACCACTATATTGTTTATCAATTTTATTCACTAGTCATCTATTTTCTTTTTTGTTCATCTTACTAAAATATCATTGTCTATTTATTCCTAGGATAATATAAACTTGCAACAAAGATAATGTCTGACGTTTTTTTTTTTCTAAACCTATAATAATAAAATTGTTCACCTAAAAACTATAACAATTAAGTAATAAAAAAAAGAAAAGAAAAAAAAAACCATATTAATTACTCCGTTAGCAACAGTTCCATAACGAAATGATGGTTTCATTGAATGAGGATTGGTAAGCTAAAATTAAAAAATACATATATTAAGGTAAATTTATTGGTTAAGTATAAAACATACGCGATAATCGTTAATACCCGACAGATCAAAATGAGTTTTTTTGGTTATCATAAAAGCAGCTACAATACATAAAATAATTGTTGAAAATAAAATGCATATTGAATACTACAAACCTAAATTAGCTGTATAACTAGCTGTAAATGCCAAACAAAAACAAGCCCAAATATTAGCCATAAATTTTGATGTAAAACTTTTTGGATGCTTTACTTTGGCTGGTGCTCGAAAAAGAACAACCCAACTAAGCCATACAGATTGAAAAAATGTCATATGAAGATCTTAATAATAATATCTGTGATTAACAATATAGAATAAAGATTTGACATTAAAAAACCTTTTTTCTTGGAAGATCGAATAAAATTCCAGATATGTTGCAATGGAGATTTGTAGTTTGTTTCTTCATTTTCCATATCCTATTGTTCAACAAAGAAAAAAAAAGCAATGAACTATATTTTAAATGATAAAGTTTTCAAACAAAGATCATAATAATTCCTTTCAATTAGAATAATCGATGTTAACTCAGTAGGTCTTGAATAGTTTCAAAACATTCACAAAATATATTTAAAAAAACAACTCTTATAAATTATTTAAATAACATACTTGATCAATATCATAATTACTCAATCTGTTTTGAAAATATTCAAATAGAAAAACCATTATTGCAACACCATGAAGAGTAAATATTAATACAAGAACCCATATACGATAATCATATGGTTCTAGATCAAACAGTTATTATTTAACATTATATTTTTTTCAATAATTAAAAAATTTTTCCTTACCTAAGAAAGCTGTAGGTGATACAGCACCTGGTCTTAAAGAGACAACCACCGCGATACCTGTTTCCATAAGTGGAACACTAAAATCAATAGCATCATTGCGTTCTGTAGTTATTTTCAATGAAGTTAATGTTAGATCAGCTCGATTTTCAAGAAGTTCAGCAACAAGACCGTTCCATTTATTCTGAAACAAAAAAAAAAATATGCTCGATTATTTTTATACCAAAAAAAACAAAAAAAAAATGATATACGATTATTAATTACAGTGAATGGATTTCGTCCACCCCATGTTCGATCAAGAACTTGATAAAGTTCAAATTCAAATTTGAGTCGATCTTTTAATATATTAAATATATCGATATAAAATCCTGAACAACATTGATAATGTTGTGGATCACTAGTATTTGCACCACTAAAAAAAAAAAATTCCTCATTGAGAAATAGAATTGTTTTTTCTAATTTAAATTTCAAAAATTTATATATTTTCAAAAGAAAAAGATTTCATGTTTTGTACGTTTCAAATAAGAAATAAATTCTAATATTTTTTAGTAATATGATTATGTCAGATTGATGAATTTAGAGAAAAAAAAAAATAGTCTTTCTTCATTTTTCTTACGAATTTTCTGGTCCTATACGACAAATAACTGAACCAGCTTGGCATTTTCCATCGGAAGATGGATCTTTAAGCATGACAAATGGTTGTTCTTCAAGTGTTACTACTTTCAAATAATATATAATAGGTTTGCCTGGTGGTGGTTTTGATCGATCACCTGGCCATTGAATATCAGCTATTGTTATTGTACTATTAACATATTCACCAACCTATTTATTATAACTCAATAAGAAATTATAAGTACATGAAAATTAAAATTTTTTTACTTTTTTCCATTCATTATTTGGCATTTGAAAATTCAATATTGAATAATTAGCTGCTAGAGCTAAACCATCTTGTTGAAAAATTCCGTATGCTTGTTTAAATTCTTCTTTGAATAAACTAAATAGATTGATAACAAAAAAAAAAGTTTTAAATTATCTATTTAAAAATTAATACTTACTTGTAAAGAGTAGGAAGTATATGTTTTAAAATTGGCTGATTTAATGAGTTATTAATAGCAAATATTCGATCACATGCAAATCGACCTCGAGATGAAGGTGTAAATGATGTCATATTAGCATACCATTGACGTACTACATTCAAATGTGTTATTTTAGAAAACACATTGATTAATATAGGTCCCACATGTTTATCGAAACGAGCAAGAAAACTATCTATATTTCATTGAATAGAAAATTAAAGCTTTTAATAAACGTTAGAAAAAAAAATCTCACCTCGAGTGACATCATGATATAAAGCTAAAAACAAGATAATTATATCAACGCAATGTAATAGAAAAAAACAAACAAACCTAATGTGCCAGTAAAAAAATTAATTTTTCGTCGATTCGGACTATCATATGGATTTATTTTTGCTTCATTACCACTACTATATGTAGCTAAAAAAATATTTTGAAAATAAAAATTATTAATATTTTAATAAAAATCTCATTTAAAAGTTACATAATACGACTGATGACATAATCCACATATATTCAGGTCCTGTGAGACTTATATTATTTGCTTGTTTAACAATAAGTGATGCTATTGTTCTTATTGAATAGCAGTGAAGAGAAATTTGTTTAAAAAATCAATAGCAAAAAGAAAAAAAAATACTAAACATACGATGTTGTATGAACGATTATAACACGTGTTTCTGGATTCATCATCGATAGTTGTTGTCTAATATGTATTGGATTAATACTTTTCATACGAATAATCGATAGTAGGGTAAATCTAGTTCAAAACATATTGATGTGATTAGTCGAATAAAAACAAAATAATAATAATAAGAGCTATGAAACTGAAAGCTAAAGCAAGATATATGCATTAACTAGGGAAAGTAAGTGAAATGTTTCTTCTTTGAATTTAGCTATAGAACTAATATATGAAATTATATTTGCTGAATAGTATAGGTTTTTATTTCTATTGTCTTTTAAATTTTAATCTACCTATTTCGTTCGATTCGTTTCTTTGTGAAAAAAACTTATATGAATTACTTTATCTATTATCACTATTGAAAAATTTTTAAGTAAACTTTTAATTTTAATTTTTCTGAGCTTAACAGTAGAGTACAATATGTTTTACAATGAAAAAGTATCAGATATTCGCATTGATACAATTTTCATAAATCTTAAAGAAATAGAACTTGATTATTTTCGTTTTTTTTGCATCAAAAATCTTATCGAAGAATCGTTTGTTCTTTATTATTCGTTTTTTATTCTCTCATCTGTTTATGACTATCGTACTTATGTTTACTGTTTTTTTGTGGAATAAATAATATAAAGAACTTAACAGATATTGTTGAAAACTTGAAGATATTATTTTTATTTATTTGTTTAATTGATGGTCAAATTTAAGTTATGGATTAGAGAAAATAAGTTTTATTTATTCTATTTACAATATCAGAAAACATCGGCTTACTTTTTTTTATCATCAAGATGATGTTGTTGATTACATGATGCTTTCCAACTATAACAAATTCTTGGCATTTGAATATTATCAAGAGCATAAGATAGAAATATAGTTTGTTTTGTATCTCTATTTCATAATCAAAAGTAAAGATTCAAATAATATCTTACCAAAATCGTGGTTCACTACTATGCTCTTCAAATTCTTCTATAAGTTCTTCTTCACCAGGTAGACGTGGATCAATAATTAATGAAAACGCATTCCAATCATATCGTTTCATTAAAGCTAACAAAGCTCGAGCTTCTTCTCGATAGGTTGGTGCCAATTGAAAGAAACGTAAACTAGGAAAATTCTATATGAAAAATAGAAAACATATAACAATATTGTCACTATTTATTTTTGCTAACAATAATAGATCTTGACTTACTGCAGGATGAAATGGATGAAAAAAATGAAATGAAAATATGGGATATTCTAATAGAGTGAAGAGTTTAAGAAAAAATAAATAAGCAGCTGGTGATGCATGATGTTCATTAGTATATTCATTTAAATAAATTAATAACATTGGATGTGATTGTAAAATAGCACAAAAACTTTCAATCAATGAAGTAACTGGTTTTGCATATAACGTATTAATAGATTTCCTGAAAACAGTTCGAAAATATTATTTAGACAAAATTTAGAAAAAAAAAAAACAATTTTTACATAATAAATCTTCCACATGTTGGTGTATAATTAGAATAAAATTGTGTTAATGTAAGAAGTTTCAATGGAGAAAATTTATCATCATTTCTTGATGATAATGTTGCCAATGGAATCGATACACATGTCATATTTGATGGTATAACTTGATGTGTTTGAAGGTGGGCAAAAGATGAGTCATTTATTACAATAAATAATAATAATAATAATATAAGGCAGTGTGACATTGTGATTGCCATAATTGATTTAAATCGATCAGACTCAATCAGATAAATGTATGAAAAGCATATATCTATATATATGTCAACGACAATTGATGTTTCTCTTAGTGAGTGACTCTTCGCAAAGCCATTATTGAAAAAAATACAAAAGAAAATAATGAAAGAAGACCGAAACCAATTGTCTATGCATCACTCGATGTTGCCTATAGAAAGCAGGATAGCCGAAAAAAAAATGAGAGAATGCTATGGATGCATTAAATGATGTTGATATGATTATTGGATGCTAATTCGTTCAAATAAATATATATATATATATGGGCGCAGAGAAGTAGAAGCGCTTTTTTATTTTTGACTCTTTTTATTGCTTTCGTGACTTATCAACAGCTTAGAAAAAAGTCGAGGAGGACCAAAAGACATCCTTATATTATTCGTTTCATTCGGCGTTTTATCATCAGCAGATAAAGATAAAAATGATGATATAGAACATTATATTAATATGGAGTGTGATAGAATTTCTTATGGATTAATTGCAATTTCGGAATCTAGATTCTTCAATAGTTCTTTCTTAGAATAACAGCGGAAAAAGAGAAAAAAAGAACAAATTGAAATTAAACGATTGTCTAAATGCATCAATCCTTTTATGTTCTTCAACTTCGTCGTCGTCGAACAGAAAATAATTTGATTATATCTTGTAATGATTGATGCTGTTAAGCATACATATAACAGTAGCTGTGACTGAGATAACAATGACAGATTGTTTTTAAAGCTATTCAAAATGCACGATTAATCTTTCATTTGGATTAGTGTTCGTTGTTCTTACAACGTCAAGAACTTTAATTCTCGTCTGATCATTAGTTCTAGATTGATTTTTGTTTATTGGTCTTAAAAATTAGAAAGAAAATTTATAAAAAAAAATTATTTCTCAAACAACAGTGTTTTTTTTCATTTTATATTAATTGTTGTTATTCTTTTTTTCTAAGGCTTGTTTTTCTATTTCTCATATTTGTGAAAAGATACAAAATGTTCGTTATTTACTTTATCCTACTTTTTCACTGTCTTTTCTTTGTAAAACATGACCTAAAAGAGAAGTCTTGAAGTGTAGAGGTGGGAATGTGAACACCCCGTACTTGTCAGACGTGACAGTCATCTAATGAACGCTTATCACAGAAGTGATAGACATTTTAGTAACGGCTCGTCATAACATATTTACTATTTCCTAATTGAAATTCTGGAGGACTAGGTACAAGAATGATGATGAAATGTGTTCCAACGTAAATAAAATGAAATAATCTCTCTGTGATTAGCAATAGCAGATACATCGTGTTTTACAATTTAATATTCTACAGAAAATTAAATCAAGAAACCAAGATTGAAAGCATTAAAATTTAGAACACAGTTTCATTTAGAATTAGATGTATTTGATAAAATGATACATACTATTCTATATAATACAGTGTGAAAGATCTCGAACATAAGTAGATCAAAATTATGCAATTTTCCAGAAATAAATTACTAATTGATAATAATGATAAATAAATTTACTGATGAACACATCAACAACAAACATACGAAGGAAAATTCTTAACAAAAAAAATAAAGAAAATATTTATCATCACAAATGATTCAATATAATAACAATAATGTTTTATATAAATTTATTCTGTCTTTTGTTATATCTAAAATGAGATTCCAGCTTATAGATTCTTATTTCAGAGACTATTTAAGATTATTAAAGATAAATAGAACTGAAGAGAGCAAGAAAGTAGATGGTTTTGTACATATAAATAACTTAATTCACATGAGAAAATCTTCATTTTAATAGTCATAGATTTATTCCTGTCTTCTAACTTTTTCTTGATGAAACTTTCTTGAAACAAATGCGTAAATGATGTGATAATACTATTCACAGTTGGTCAGCTTCTTTGTTTTATTGTATAAATTGTAATTTGTAACTCAACTTAGCTACATTAATATGTATTATTTTTCATCACAACTTCAATAATAATCTGATGCATTAGTATTTGTCATGGCTTTTGTGGCTCCTGCCTTATCGGTACTTTACTTTATTATTGATCAGCTATATTATTTTCTTATATTTTATCTTTAGTGTTCTACATAAACAAATATAACAATGGAACAAATCATCAAATTATATAGCATTAATGGTTTGGGTAGTTTAGTTAAGGTTACTTTTGTCATTATTATTTGTTGATTGTTGTAAGATGAAAATAGCAAAAATTATGAAGAAGAAGGGGAGGATTTGGGTGTATTACAAATTAAAGAAGCTAAAAACAAATTAGCTATGTAATGTCTCTATCGAATAGTTAATAAACAAACACAGAAGCCTATGTGATTTATATCATTTAACATCAACAACTACAAAAAAGTTTCCGATGACCATCATTCTTATCCTTATCGTCATCATTTTCATCACATTCATGCCTATTCACTTAGGTCTCATCATCATTTATTCATTTGCTATTTTTGTTCTGAGTTGCATGCCTCGAGAAATGCTCGACGTAATTTTCACAATATTAGTGTGAATACATCGGATAAATTTTTAATTCCAGTAAAAACTAAAGAAAGACAATTCATAAATTAACACATGATACACACATTGAACCGAAACTCTGAGATGTTGAATGTAGAACATATACGAACCGAAGAGAAAGTATATAAATGTCTACTATGGAATTAAATGTTATACCATAGAACGTTATAGAAATCATGTATGAAATAAATAGCTTGAAAAATTTGTAAAGTTGTCTATATACATTTACGAAATCAATATCGCAACAAGACAAAAATATAATAAGTATTGTAGCAATACAAAATATGACTGGGATAATGGTTATTGTTGTTTGACTTTTTCAAAACTTCTTCGGATTTTCATTTGAAAAAATAATACTTTCTGGCATTCTTCAGTTGTTTTATCGTGATCATTGGTTATATTTTGTGAAACATGATTTAAAAGCTGTTAGTACAACTTCTGTAGGATTGAAATCTGCAACATGATATAGTTACTTTTGCTAATCACAGAAAGATTGTTTTATTTTATTCACTTTGGAACACATTTCTTAACCCTCCTTTTCTTTAAATTTCCAAAACACAATACAGAAGTAGTTCATATATTATAATGTGTCATTATTGATATACAGCCTATGAAGGTTTAGATTTTTACTCCTCTACTTCAACGCTTCTTTTAGCTCGTGTTGCATAAAAATATTGAAACAATTTATATGCAACGGAATTTTCAAAAATTTTGTTTTTCGTTATAGATAAGATCTGTGTTTAAACATATACATGTTCATTAAAATGGAAGCTTATGTATCTTTCAAATTTGTCAAAGATCTGTTTTTTTCTTCTAATCAACTGAAATTTTCGTTAAAAAAATTATACATATTAGTTTCACTGATAGAAAATATGTCTAGTCTTATGATGAGTCTAGACAAAGATATTTTTCGATTAAAATACAGTGCATGACTATAAGCATTATTGCATCTTACTAACAAACTCTAGTTATACTCTATGAAAACTTTATACATATAAAATGACATCGTAGATTTCTATTATCTAACAAAAGACTTTATCTAACCCATTACTTTTCTTCGTGAAAGAAATAGTTAGATCTTTCTAAAAAAAAGCATCACTATTCAAAAGCTAATAAATTGTTTACAAAATCATCTCAAATATGGCTAGTTGTTGGTAAAACGTCCATCATGTTCAACTTGATGTTTTATAGATAAAAAATAGTCCATGGATCATCGCTTTTGTTAATATCAGGAGTATTTTTTGCATAATTCTGTTTGAAACCATTAACATAGTACTTTTTTCGTCTCTTTACCTTATCCATGTCTCTTCTGAACACACAAAATACAATCAACATAATGAGTACTGTCTTAGAACATTACAGAAATAAAACATTAATGTTCTTTTAGAAAATTTTCATTAGACCTATTTGATTATATGTTATGTTGTTGTCTGAAAATAAAATCAACTAAATAATAGTGACAAGCAATTAGTGATAATAAAATGATTATATAAAATGTAAATTTCGACATAATTGTTTTTGACATATATTCGCTATAAAAATAATCGATTCTTACGACACAACAAATAATACAAAAACTGATTTCAAAAAACTCGTCTATTAAAAAGTGAAGACAATTAACTGATAAAAAACTCAATGGTATAATTCATAAACAAATATGTGACGCTTGTTCCTACGAAATAAACTGACAGAGAAACAAATTCATTGAAAATTTAATCATGACTAAAGTCTTTAATGGTGAACACAATATGAGCTCAAATGAAGGTTGTCAAATATCTCAATGTTACTTTTCTTCCTATATGTTAAGAATCTGTTAAACATTTTAGATGACTAATTGTGAGTTTTAACGCTGATCTATAAAATTAATCGATAGAAAAAGAAAATATTTATTTTATTAAATAAATTAAAGCATATTTCAGTTCGTATAATATAGATCATTCCAAATCTATAAGACAATTAAAACGAACATGAAATAAAAGTATGTAATTCTTATAGAACAATGAATGAATATTCTGTAATATATTTATTGATTGAATATTTGATGAATGTTTCATTTTAGATTCGATTTGACGAATAGCTATTTCTATTTCAATAATATTTTGATACCTTGGTGGTAATGTTTTACGACTAATTTCAAGTGATTTTTGATAATATTCTAATGCTTTTGAATAAACTTTTTTACGTTTATACATCCATCCAATATTCTTATATATTGCAGCAATTTGTGAATGATCAGACGAATTTTAAGTGTTTTTTCATAATATTCTAAAGCTAAATCATATTTTTTCATAAGAGTATATGCATTTTCTGTACTATCATAAGTTGCAGGAAGATCAAGCGAATTAGAAGAAAGTGTTTTTTCTTGAATTTTGATTGCTTTATGCAAATCGATCAAAGCTTGTTCATAATCCTCGTTTTCTAAATGAACTTCACCAATAAAACAATAAGTCTCTCCAATATTAGAATGATCTTCTCCTAATACATATTCTCGTATTTGTAGGACTTCTTCAAATTGTTTCAGACTTTCATCACAATTATTGCAACGAAGATGTGCCCATCCAAGACCTAATCGAGCATCTGCTACCATCAATAATGCTTCGTCTATCATTCGTTCATAACATTTTCGTGCTTTTTCATTCTCATCCATTCTCAATAATAATTTTCCAAGAGAATCTAAACTAGTACTATCACCAATTTTTTGTTTCATATGAGAATATATTTCTTTCAAATGAAAATCATCTTCACTTACTCATGATAAATGAACTATCCATACTCGATAATTTTCATCTTTAATAACTGTCTTAATACGAAATAAGGCACCAATCATTATTAATATTTCTTCTTCTTCTTCACTGAAAGAACTTATTTTTAGTTATATCAGCAAAAGCTTTAGTTCTTAAATGTGGATCTATTGTAATTTCAAAGATGATTGGTTGCATATCAGCACAACTAATCGATTACGACTAGTTGATAGAAATGAATTCATCGAAAGAAATTCACCAATGTTATTCTTCATTAAGTTAAGTTCATCATTTCCAACTATTTGTTCACGATAAACTTGAATTATATTTCGATTGTTACAAGTACGAATGAACATTTCATATTCATTTTTGATCAGTGCAGTAATATCATTAATGAAAAATCGTAATGTAAATAGCATATCAAAGTCTTGTACACGTAATGCTTTATTCAAAATTCTATGAAAACATGAATCACGTGTATACCACCAGATGGTGTATAATTTTTTTCAAATTCATTAATGATACACATCTCTTGGGAGTTATCTTTGTAATTGTTTCTACAAATATCAATAAGTTCATTACGATCAGTAGTTTTATGATTCATATGAACAAGAACTTCAATAAATAATTGAAACCACATAAAGGTAGCATTATGAGCTTCGATGGATTGTGTTTGTTGAGTTAATACAGAAACTGAAGGATTATCGTCTAGTTTTCGTTCGAGAAATTTGATCTCTCGATATTTGAGCAACAAGTTTCGAACGTTGTACGAAAACATCACTAAACTATTCAATAAAAGAACAGTTATTAGATATGAACTATGTTTTTAGACCACAATTTACCTTACGATAAGTTTTAGCCCATTGTTCATTCGCTTTTTTTATCTTGACAAACGACATAAAATGCTGCAATTTGTGAAAAATCATGAACTCGAGGAATAATTTGTTGACCTCTCCTGCGAATGATGAAGTACTATTTTTATTCTTTATCTCTTTCTTTTCATAATAATATAGTATGTTGTTTGACGTGTTGCTTAGTTGTATTTCTTCTTACCTGAAGAGATTGTTTTTTCTTTTCAGTTGCTGGAATAGAATGAAAAGAACTACTTACTGCTTGTATCAACAATATTCACACAAAACAATGCATCCAGTCCATGTAACACTTGATAACTTATCATGGAAAACAAAAACTACATATTGAAGACAACATTGACTATAATCATTTTGACTCAAGAAATCTTTCTTTTTTCATGTTATTATATTAATGAATTTTGATACATATATTTTGTAGAGAAAGTGCTTTTATCTCAAGTGAACTTTTAGAAGTAAAATTTGCATCTGAAACTGTGATATTTTAGATAAAGTAATATAATAATGCTAATATAACTATCACGTACTTCTACATAACTTATGAGACATAGATTGAATTCATAATTTTACAAATCGTTTATCTCAAATTGTTGAGATGTAAATTTTCAAATAAAACTAGTAGAATTATGATAGAACATGACTCATCCAACTTAAAACAAACAAACAATCAATCACCATAATTGATATAGACACAAAAATAAAACAAGATATTTAAACGTAACTTATTCTTTCTATATTAAAATATAATTAATATACAATAGCTGAAACACAAATAGAAATATTAATAAATAAAAACAAAAAATAACTAATCCATTTTATTCACATTGATTACCCTATGTCGTTAGTAACTTAAATGAAGTATAATTTAATTCACAACGCATGTTTAGCTTATAAATAATTTGAAATAAATAATAAGAAAAACAAATCATTCTAAATAGTTGTATAACCTCCATCGGCTAAAAAGCTAGCACCTGTTGCAAAATGACATAAATCTGAAGCAAGAAATACTGTTAAATTAGCTATCTCTTGAGGTGTACCCAATCGTTTTAAACATTGTTTTTTTACTTCTTCTGTAAAAAATTCATCCATTGTTAATTTTAAATTAGCTGCATGAGTAACTGTCGCTGGTGTGAGAATAGTACCAGGACAAATAGCATTACATCGGATATTAAATGGACCCAAATCAAGTGCTAAATTACGTGTCATTTGTAGAATAGCTCCTTTTGTTGTACTATAAGGTACAAATTCAGGTTGTGCAATCCAACTACTGATACTAGCCATTTGAATTATTGAACCTGATCGTTGTTTTTTTAGTAAAGGAACAACAGCTTTAGCCATGAGAGCATAACCACGTACGTTAACATTCAATATGTTAGACCATGCATCTGCTGATGCATTCTCAACTGAACACAATGTAAAAATAGCAGCACTAATAAGAAATAAAAGAAAAAAATAAACTTTTTCTTTATCTTACGAAAACTATCAACGTACTTATTGACAAGTACATCAACTGTATTCCATTTATCTACGACAGTTTTTACTGCATTTTGAATTGCTTGTTCATCAGTCACATCAAGTTCAATTGCCATAATATATTCTTTTCTAGTTTCATCTTCATTCATAATTTTCATTACAACATCATCAGCTGCTTTTTTATTGATATCAGATACTACCACACGTGCTCCATGCAATATACATGCATGTACTATTGCAGAACCAATAGCTCCACCAGCACCAGTTACAATAACTACTTTATTTAATAATAATCGAGACCAGTCACCACTTGGTTTAGATGCTTGCTCAGGAGCTGCAGACATAACTATGTACGACGAGATAAAACCAAAAAAAACAGAGTGAGACGAAAAGAACAAGGTAAGGTGTTTGCTGTCTTGCTGTGATCTTATCTTTAATGTTGAATTAGTACGAAAAAGGTACATACATTATTGATAAAAGCCAAGGACACTTACCTCCATCTATTGTTGACATAAAAGATTTACTGATTGGAGAGTGATGTTATTAATGATGAGTCACTTTCCATATTAGAAAAATGAAGAGGAACAGAAAGGAACTAACATGAGAAAAAATTTATCTGTTAATTCAAATTTCAAGAATGAAAATCTATTGAGATTATGATTTTTTTAAAATTTCAAATAAAGTTTCTCTTTTCAATATAATTTTTTTGATAAATCAATTCTCATCACACAAAAAAAAATTCAAAATGATTTGGTCAATATAGATAATGTTATTTATTGATTTTGCAATAACTCGTTCAATCGTTAATTTTATTATATTTTGTTTTGTTATTGTATTCAAATTCATTTTACCCAAGAGAAATCAAAATTGACAAAGATTTTCAAGAGTCTATTTTAAAACATGTTTATTTTTTTTTTTTTATGAATTAATATACTTTGAATATTCGATAATAGAAACATTCTATTATTTATAGATTCGGTTATTAATTCATTCTTATAGAATGGTGTTGGATGCAAATATTCTTCAAGAAAAATTAATTGAAGCATGGAAACTTCGTTCTGATGAAACAAGTTTTTCAGCATCACTTTCACCATTAGTTGCTGAATGTCGAACAGAAGAAGAATTTCGAACATTGTTTACAAGTAAAATAAAATGATCTATCTTATCGATTTTATTTTTCATTAATATCTCAATTTTAGAACAAATACTTGAACATATTGATTCAGCAACATCATCAACTCTTCTACAATCATATTTTAAATTTCATACAAGATCTGGTTATGTTAATGAATCATTAGTTATTGAACGTCTTCTTTCATTAAAACCTTCATCATCATCAATTGTAGATGATGTACAAATTAAATTTTTACTTGAATTATTATCAGATACACTTAAAACAATGCATGTTACTGCTGAACAAGCACCACATCTTGGTAAACAAATAAATTTACTTGCAAAATGGCTTTGTTCAGCATTATGTATTTATTCAAATCAAGAAATAACTCCAACTGGAAAAGAAATGCTTATAGCAGTTTCAAATTTATTTCTTTTATTTTTTACAAATACAACTTATTATTGTCTTTGGTTAATGACAATAAAAGCACAAAAAGAACAAACAGAATGGAGACAATTACAAGAACAATTAACACAAATTGCACAAAAAACGACTATAGGAGAATCTACAAGACCAGATGTTTATGAACAAATTCTTTCTAAGTAAGATTTTCATTATTTATAATATACAATTTTTGAAAAAGTTAAGAAATGAAAGGCATATTTAATAGAAAAATATTTTCATATGTTAGATTATTATTAAGTTTTGTTTATCAAACAAAAAAAATCTTTCTTAACAACTTTAAATTTTCCTATACTCTTTTGCACAGCTTAAAGAGTACTTTATTGTCAATCATGATTTTAACAACTATAAGTCAAACATTTTTTTCCTTATATGATATTCAAAAATCTAGACAATTTATAGATAAACAAAAAAAAACGGTGACCTGGAAGTTGAACCTCAGATAACGAACAAATTAAAGTAATACAAGAAAATAATTTTTCTAGTTAAACAGAATTCTTATTCGTTTCAAATACGAGTCACTTGTTATCAAATGAAAACTCTATATTAAGCTGTTGTAGTTGTTCATGAAGAAGTTCTTATTTAACACATTTTCCGTATTTTTATAAGTTTTGGACTTTAACAGCTCGATACTATTCTTCAGAAGAATTGTTCGTGTGTAATAGTTCTTTTTTTTTCTCTTATTGAGATTAAATTCGACATCAATCTATTTTGTTTGTTAAATAATGATTAAAATAATAAAATATATTTTTTTTTTAGAATAACTCGTCTTCATTTATCAGAAGATTTTCATCAAGAAGAAGTAGAATTTAATGCATGTATATTCAATTCAATTGTTTCAATGCTTGTTGTAAATCAACTTCATAAATCATGTTCAATTCTTTTAATAGTTATTCGATTTTATGAATATGTTTCAACAATGCCAAATCCTTCATTACTTTATTTACATTTACTTCAATCATCATTTGGTGGTTATGTATCATCAATATCAACAAATAATAGTGAATATCAACAACGTTGGTCAGCATTTATATTTTTTCAATTACCACGTTTATTATCATCAAGTATTGAAACACAAATAGATCATGTTAAACAAGCTATAGAAAATTTTTTATTACATAATGAATATTTACTTAATCGAATGGATGAATTATGTTTAGAAAATGTTTTAGAACAAATATTACAAACAACATTAAATTATACTAAAAATGATATAAGAGAAAAAAATCAAAATAAAATAAATCAATTAATTTTCTATGTACAAAATATTCGTGGACCATTTGTTAAACGTATTCAAGAATATTATCGTAATCAACAAACACGTTAGTTCAATTATTTGTTTTTTTATTTGATTTAGTTTTGTTTGCTTTTATGTATAGATTCATATTCATATCAAATTCTTCAATTACAACGTAATCTTGAACAATCATTATATAAAATTTTTTCATCAGATTTATCATCAAATAATGAAGAAAATTTACAAATATTAATTAATAATTTAACTGAATATATTCCATTAATATGTGCACTTGATCAATATTATCCATTTATTCGTTTACTTTTATCATATACACAAACACAATTTGATCTTGCTATATTAATACTTTGTTATATAACATCAATAACTGATGATATATCTGAAGATTTCGGTCATTTAGATATTAATTATGATAAATCATCATCATCATCATCATTTATTATTTATGTATGGTTAAAAAAATATTGGTTATCACGTTATCTTGGTCATGCTTTATTTTCATCATCACTTGATTCAATTGAATTATTATCAACAACAACAAATAATAATAATAATCTATTTGGTGATTTATCATTAACAGAAAAAGAAGAATTTTTAAATGAAATTCGAACATCAAATAATGAAAATATTCATAGAAAATATTCGAATATTGAATATTTATCAAAAACAATATATTTACTTGGAGAACTTCCACCATTATCATTAGATGAAACAAAACAAACTGTTTCAGCATTAATTATATATTTAACACAAGTATCATATGGTTCACTTGTACATGTATTACTTTGGTTGATTGCTAATTATCAAATTGCTAATGATGATGAAAGACTTTGGATTCAAAATATTATTCATACTATGGGTAATTATTTAAAATTATTTATTGAACTTCAAAAAAATAACATAGAATCCTAATTAACAAACTCTAAAAATATCAAACATTAATTCTAGAATTCCTATTCCATAAGGATTATTATTTAGTTAGAGTGAAAGAACGCAAATTAACATACAAGAATCAGTATCGTTATTACATCGTATCATCTTGATGATTCCTAGACGAATATCTAAATGAATGTATATGAAAAATTAGAATTTAAGAAAAGAATATGCTAATAGATAATACTCATACTTGATGAATTATTCCTATTTTAATTATCATACGACAAGAGCAAATAGTGATTCTTATAGAATGATATTGTCCGACAATATTATAGATGGGTTCAGTTTTCTAAGAAAAAAAAAATGTAATCATAAAAATAATATGAGTGCTTGATTCCATATTCTTTGACGATGAGAAAAAGATATCGCAAGAATTGTCTGTAAAAATTTATCTCAGATGGATGAATTATGTTTTCTAGAAAATTTTCCTAACACTTCACATTTTTTAATTAATTTCAGTCTACCTATTGATTTGTACTGATTAGACAAATCGTGTTGATGTGAATTCTATTTATGTTAGTTGGATTCGATAGAAGTTTCTTTCAAATGACATGTAATTTCTATGTATCTCAATTAAGTCTATTTAAATAAAATAAATATTCCAATAGATCTTAGCTATCTGATTTTGAATATTATTACTAGTGCAGCAATATAAAGATATAGGAATATTTAAAAATATGATTATTTTATAGATTGAACTTTTTCATGGCTACAATTATTTTTTTTTTTCTTTAAATTAGTTTTAATCAAAAGAAATTTGTTATGATAGGTACATCAATTGATTCAACATCAACAATATCTTCATTACTTGATGCTATAAAACGTCAATTATGGTCAGATTTTATTGATAATCCAATATTACCATATCATACACTTCTTCTTCCAATATCATCATCATCAATTGTTAATAATTATACTCCATCATCACCTCAAACAGCAACAACATTAATATTAACATTATTTGATACATATTTAACAAATGAATTTCTTGATTGTGAACAATCACGTGGTTTATATATTTGTTCAAAACATGTTCCTATTCATTTAATATTAACACGTTTATTAACAACTATAAATACATCAAATGGTATATATGAAACACGTCGTGCAATTTTTTTTATATTTGGTTTTATATTATTTCGACGACGTTCATCAACACGTTGTCTTTTACAAGAAGTTTTACCTTATTTAATAAATATTAAATCAAATGAATTTATGCTTGAACCAAATGTTTATAGTATGTGTATATTATTAAATATATTATTAGCACTTGAACTTAATACAAAAAATGATCAATTAGGAAATTTATTTCGTGTTAAATCATGGAAACAAATTTATCAACCAATTGATTCAATGTTATTTGATACAATAGAAGATAATTATGATGATATTATACCAAAATCTGAAGATTTAACTGTTATTAATGTTTATCATGAATTTTTAGATTGGTCATCTAAAGAACTTTTTTCTAGTGATAATGTTCGACCAGTTAATTATTTTCTTGGATGGTTACAAACTATTCTTTGGATGTTTAGTCGAACAACGAAATCACTTAAACAATTTATTAAACCAAAATTAGTAAGTTATTGACAAAAAAAAAAATCTTTTTTTTTTGTTTTTTTTCTTTAAATAAATAAATTTTCTTTTTTGAAATATAAAAGATTGCACAATTATCAGAATATTTACCATTACAATTTCCAATTGAAAAAGTTTTAAGTATATTAGATTTATCAAATGATATTGAACTTGAATATGCTTCAATGGCTATAACACGTGATTATGGTCGTTTACAAATATTAAATAAACGAATAACAACAAATCTTATTTATAATCAACAAACAATTAATGATGAACATAATACAACAACACCGGTGAATGTAACAAAAAATATTTATACAATACCAAAAAATCTTTAAATTATTGTTTATTCATATTTCGAATTTATCTTATTTGTAATATTTATATATATATCTATTGCCTATATATGACAAAGATTTTCTCTCTGTTAAAGATATATCATTTAATGTTCTATTAGCATTGCACAAAATTAATTCTTTATAGTTGTTTTTAAAATTTAAATGCATCCTTAAAAGTGAAAACGTCTATTGTCACGCTACTTTTTCTTATCAGAAATCGAAATAATTCAGAAAATACGAGTATGATATATAGATAGATAGATAATTAAGCTTTTTGCTTTCACGACAGTTTACTAAATGAGAAAAATGACTTCGCTAGTACAGAAAAAAAAAACAAAATATTCTATAAAAGTTGTTAATATGAGATTCGATCATTTTTCTTTGATTCCTTCTCATATTCAATTTAAAATAGTATCTCGTGATACTATTTTGATAAATATAAAAGTCCCAGTTGTTTCGAACATATTTTTGAATTCTATTATCAACAAGGTTCTTTATAAGGAACTCACGTTGCGATAAATACGACATAAACTTCTGACATTTGAACTTACAATCAGCGATAATTTTTCTGCTTTAGAAAAGTTATATAACGTTGATTTCAATTCAAATGCTTCATTCAACAATAAATAAACTATCATTAGTATTCTTTACTTGAAAATATTTAAACTGTCCTAAATATTGTAAAAGAACGAGTAATGTGATAATAATCAAGTTTATTTTTAATGATCTATGAAAATTTTAAAACTAACTAGAAAAATTTAATTATGTAATTCTGATAGAATATTAAATGATATTTCTTTTGAATACAGAAAAAAAATCAATCTTCCACTGTAATTTTGAGTGAAGATGCGCATGAAAAGCACAAAATATTGCAAAAGACTTTCAACATCTGATATTTTTATAAAAATTCTTATTCATCTTCATATGTCAAGTTAACTCGTCAATTTCATTTTCTTTTCTTTCTTTTACAACTTTAATCTCGCAGTTATATTCAAGCAAAGTAAAGGTGAAAGATAGCTGAATCTAATAGAATGTTTGTTGTGTACTCTTTATTATTTGTTTTTTTTTTTTTTGTGTATTTCAAACGTTTAAAATCGTTTGACAAATCGATGATCAAATATTTGTATAAAATTCATTTGAATTTTTCTTCCAGAGATGATTCTTCTGGTACGAATCTTAATTTCAACTAACCAAGGTTTTATTTTGTTCTCGTTATATTATGTTTTTTTTTGTTGACTTAATAAAAGACCACACGTTTTTGTCTTTTCTTTTTTTGTAGATAAAATGTATTCAGCTATTATTCGTCAAGTCAGACACAAACTATTGTTCTCGAATACTTTGCGCACTTGTCTTACATCTGTATACATAATTGTTTTATTTACAATAATAAATGAATTCTCTTTTTATATATATCCATAGAAAATGGAATCTTCCTCCAAGATTTATTCCAGTAGTGATTCAAACAAATCATCCGAAGGTGGTGAGGTGATGGGTGCTCAGCTTATTGCGGAATCATTACAAAAACAGGTGACAAAAAAGAATAAATCGTGTAACTAGCAAAGACATGTCTATAGACATCATAGATAGACACCGTTCATGTTTTTACAATGTATAAGAATATCAAAGATAGATAGAATCGGTTAACAATTTTTTTGGCAACGTATTGAATTGATCTCATCTGTGATAGACACAAGAGCTTCATACATGCTTCGATGATTTTAACGTTGCTACAAATTCACATTTGAATTACGATAAGAAAAATTCTACTTTTTAAATAGTAATTTTGTTTTCTAGTTACAACATTAGAAAAATGTATACTTTTCGTTCTAACTACTTGTACATGCTCGAATGTTTTTAGGGTGTTGAATACATGTTTGGTGTGGTTGGCATTCCAATAATTGAAGTCGCATTTGCTGCTCAACAATCACAAATAAAATATATTGGAATGCACAATGAACAAGCTGTATTTAATAAAACAACACAAAAAAAGAAAATTTTGTGTACTATGCATTTTATTTTAGGCATCCTACGCCGCATCAGCTATTGGTTATATGACAGGAAAGTATGTCACATTATGATTAGTATACATTTGAGATAGACTATGGTTATTTATTCGATAGACCAGCTGTATGTTTAACAGTGTCAGGACCTGGTTTTATTCATGCTCTTGGTGGTATGGCAAATGCTCAAGTTAATAAATGGTAAATATAATATTGATCATCAATTAAATAAACGTATACGTTTAGGCCAATGATAGTCTTAGGTGGTTCCTCTGATCAACCCCAAGAATCTATGGGGGCATTTCAAGAATTTCCACAAGTATACAATCATATTTGTACTATTGATAGAAAATAGTATTTAATTTTTTTTTCACAGGTTGAAGCAGCACGACTCTTTTCAAAGTATGCTGCTCGTATTTCATCACTCGAGCGAGTTCCATTCTTTGTTGAAAAAGTAAAATCTATATAAATGTGTCTAAGATTGAAGGAAAATAAAAGAAATATCTATTTTTTATAGGCTGTTCGTTCTTCTATTTATTCACCTTCAGGTGTAAGTTATCTTGATATTCCTGGTGAACTTGTTACTTCTTCAATAAACTCAAGTCAAATCGAGTAAAATATATTTGATTTTACTTATATTTAATGAATGTCTTTTTTTTTTGTAAAGACAACCTCCAAAACATCAAGCACCTCCAAAGCCTGCTGCTAGCCGTGAATCACTTGGTGAATTTTTCAATTTACTTAAACAAAGTAAAAAACCACTTGTCATCGTTGGAAAAGGTAAGTTTCCGTACATACATATAAGTTTTTTTTACAAATAGTTTCAATAATTAAGGTTGTTCATATGGATTTGCTGAAGAAGAACTAAAAAAATTTATTGAACAATACAATTTACCATTTCTTGCAACACCTATGGGTAAAGGAACATTGGATGATCGTCATCCATTATCTGTTGGTGCAGCACGTTCAACTGCATTAAAAGATGCTGATTGTATTATTTTACTTGGAGCACGTCTAAATTGGATGCTTCATTTTGGTAAACCACCTCGTTTTGATCCAGATGTTAAAATAGTTCAAGTAAAACATTGTTGTTGTGATTTTGTTTATTGTTCTCTTCTTCTAATAAAGTAATCCTTGTTTTTCAATATATATTCAGATTGATACGGATACAAATGAATTACACAATAATGTTCAAAGTGCATTAGCAATTCAAGCTGATCTTAACACAGTATTAAAACAAGTAAATGATTTTGTTTATCTTTTTTTTTAATTGAATAAATATAAAAGATTTTTTTATTGTTCTAGTTGAATGAAAATGAAACAAAATGGAAATATGATGCAGCAACACAATGGTGGAATTTACTTAGAAAGAAATTGGCTGCCAATAAACAACGAAGCGATGTAAGGCGATTAAGAAAAAAAAAGAAACAATGAATTGATAATACTTATTAGTGAAGAAAATAGTTTTCTCCGAGAGAAAAGTTAATTATTTATAAATATTGATTGTTTCTATGCATAGTGTATATCATACATATATATATATATACATATATTGTGTCTGATTTATTCTTTTATTTAGACTCTTATAAATTCAAAAGATAGTTCTATGCTTAACTATTATTCAGCATTTGATACAGTATGTTCTAAATAAATTATTCATTTTTCTTTTTTATGAATTTCTTTTTTTGTTATGTTTAGATTCAATCAATTATTCCAAAAGATGCAATCATTGTAAGTGAAGGTGCTAATACAATGGATATTGGACGAACGATGTTATTGAACTCTAAAGCTCGTCATCGACTCGATGCTGGAACATTTGGTATGGATTATATTTTGTTTGTTTTCAAGAAAAAAAAAGATCAAATATTTGAAAATCGTAATCTATTGAAAAAAAATATTTAGGAACAATGGGTGTTGGTCCAGGTTTTGCAATAGCAGCAGCTATTTATTGTCAAGATCATGAGCCTGAAAAACGTATTATTTGTGTTGAAGGTGATAGTGCTTTTGGTTTTAGTGGTCTTGAATTTGAAACAGCTGTTCGGTAAGATTGTCTATCATTCAAATATATTAATTTGTTTCTTTTTTATTTTTATTTCAGTTATAATCTTCCAATTATATTTATCATAATTAATAATGGTGGTATTTATGCTGGTGTTGATGCAGAGTCATTTCAAGAAATGGCTAAAAAAGATGCTGCTCTAAAGTAAAATTTGATTCTTTAATTAATAATCAACCTATGTGTAAAACGAATTTATATAATATATCTGATCAATATTCGTTCACTTATTTGATGCTTCAAGAATATCAAACGTAAATAGTTAGAATAAGGATTTACTTATTTTTCTATCTATGTATTTAGAATTTTGTTTCGAACTCAAACTTAGCTTATTGAGTATAAATTTTTGATGACGAACAAAAATAACATTTTATATAAAGCATAAAATTAAAAGATGTTTGTAAATATGTTTGCTTATTCTATCAAGAGCTAGATATCATTGAAGATGATGAAAAGTCATCAGTTAGAGCTAGAATTCGATACTGTTTCTGAATGTTGCTCAAATTTTTTTTCTAATCTATGATAGGTGATCTGTGAATAATCATTTTATGAAATCAAAAATGTTAAAATAGACTTTTTCTATCATCCATAACATCTTTGGACAGGATTTTGACATATATTTTAATTTTCGGGTGTTGTAAAGATCACAATTTTCTACTATATGATTGGTTACAATAACTTAGAATTCGGAAGAATCAAAAGCTAGAAATATTTGTCAAATAGTTATGGAATACCAAAGATTTTGATCGTTTCTAGCTATTTGTAAAACAAAGAAGCAAAGCATTCATGTTATAGAGTTGGTCTCATTCTTCAAATTCAATTATAGCAAAAAAAATTTTTACAGTGTAAAATGAAGCATTTTTAATCAAAATAAAAAAGTGAACTACATAAAAAATACTGTAAAAACGTGACTTTATACTTCCGTCAAAGATTACTTCTCAATCAAATAACTGTAAGCTAGAAAAAAGAAAATCTTAATATGTAATTTGAAACAGCATGAAATTCTAATTCTAGCTGCTTACTTCTGATTCTTGAGAATAATTCATAAGTGACGAGAAATTGCCCAGACATGTCATCCAAAGATGTTTTATACACAGGTTATTTCGATATTCTTTTCATTAAAAAAAAATGTAGTTTACCACCAACATCACTAATGCAAGCAAATTATGAACGGATAGCCGAAGCTTTTGGTTGTCAAGGTTATTTAGCGCGTACACAAGAAGAAGTAAAAAAAAGTGTGCAATCTGCCTTAGCTGAAAAAACTCGTCCATCAATTATTAATGTTTTTATTGATCCATCATCGGGTCGTGTTCAACAAGTATGTTAATTTTTTTTTTTGTAAACAAAGACATTATTATCTACATTTTATTATAGGAACATGCTTGGCTTACTCGCTCAAAAATTTAAAATTCATTAGATTCGATAAGACTTAAATTTTCTTTTTATTAATCTTTTTTCTTTGTTTTTTTTTTAAATAAAAAAAAAAAAATAATTTGATTGAAAAATGCTAAGGCTTATATGTGCTTATGTCTATTTCATACAGAGCGTCGTCTTGACGAAAGAAAGATAATTGTAAATCTTAGACACTTGATGACAGTAGATGCAGAGAGAGAAAAAAAAGAAAGAAAGAATTATAGAGAAACATCATCGTTGTCTTCGTTTATTTTCATTTTTACTGACATTTAATCCAAGTAAGAAAAAAGCATTCAAGTGATAATGATGAATGTTGAAGAGCAAAAACCGGAATCATCAAATAGAAAATTCAAGGTTTTATTACATATGATTTTCTTTTTATTTCATCAAATTCGTGTTTTTTTCTTCAACAGAACTTTCGAAAACGTATTTTTTATCAATTTATTAATCATTATATAATTAATAATAAAGATGAACAACAAACTAGTCTTTTACATGAACGAAATCAACAAATAGAAGGACCTATTCGAAATGAAGATTTTCAAGTGTAGGTTAAAGTTTTCTTTTAAAGAAAATTTAATCAATCATAAACTCTGATTTGCTTTTCAGTACTAGTTTTATAATTGATCCACAAAATTATTTATATCATTATTGGCTTGCAATTATTACATTTGCTGTTGCCTATAATCTTTTGTTGATACCAGCTCGATATGCATTTAATGAATTGAATAAAAATTTAAGAATTTTTTGGATATCATTAGATTATACTTTTGATATAATCTATTTAATTGATATTTTTATACAATCAAGAACAGGTTAAGAAAAACAAAAAAAAAACGTATTAAGAAGAAAAAAGAGAATATTATTCTTTTTAGGTTATTTTAGTCATGGCCTTTTTGTACGTAATCATTATGTTTTATCTCGTAATTATTTTACATCACGACAATTTTATTTACGTGATCTTTTATCTATTATTCCAACGGATTTTTTATATTTAATTCCAAAATATCGTTTTATTTCTATAATACGTTGTAATCGATTTTTACGTATTAATCGTCTTTTTGAATTTCAAGAATTAACAGAATCACGTACAAGATTTCCTAATGCATTTAGAATTTTCTGTCTTATATGTTTGACTCTTACACTTATTCATTGGTAAAAATATAACTTTAGAGTTTTTTTTTCTTTCATATGAATACAATAGAAGAATAATTTAATTTTGCTTTAGGAATAGTTGTGCTTATCTTCTTATTTGTCAATATTTGGGTTTTGGCACTGATAGATGGGTATTACCAGCTGCGGCTAAAAATGAATCAGTTGCAATGCTTTATACATATTGTTTTTATTGGTCAACACTTCTATTAAGTACAATCGGTGATGTTCCATTACCTGTAAAAAGAGTTGAATATGCATTTGTATTATTTGATTTTATGATTGGTATGTTATCAAAAAAATAAAAATCATTACAGTTCAATGATTTGTATCAAGAATAGTAATCAGACTATAAGTAGTTTCCTTTATTTGAAAATTACTATTCTTATTAGAATGGCTTGACACTGTCAAAAACCTAATATATAAGAGCATATTTTCTAGTGATAATTTTGATTTATTTAATCAATGAATACTTTTTTTGTATTATGGGTTTTTTTTTCACAAAGAGACAATATAATATTGAGTTATAATCTGTATTGCGAGTTTCAATAAATTTTCCGTTTTAAAACTTGTATGCTTATCAATTATAGTTGATGATTCGTAACTTCGTAAAGAAATAATCATCTGAGAGAATTCTGATACAACATACTAAATTCAATTATATTCTTGATAGGTATACTAATATTTGCAACTATTATTGGTAGTCTTGGTACAATGATATCATCACAAAGTCAATCAAGTATAAAAAGAAAATATTTAAGAAAAAAAAAAAGCATTTTTCTTATATTGTCTTTCTAGGACAACAAGTTCGTGAGAAAATGGACGAAATAAAACGTTATATGAAATTTCGTTCGGTAAATCGAAAACTTGAACAAAAAGTTATAAAATGGCTCGATTATTTGTATACAAATCGACAAGTATTAAATGAAGAAATGGTTTTAAATTCTGATTTAAGTGTTGAATTACGTAAAGATCTTGCTATTAAAGTACATTTAGAATCATTACAACAAGTTACATTATTTCGTGATTGTGAACCTAATTTACTTATAGAACTTGTAAATTTAAACTTTTCTTATATAAAAATTTTTCTTTTTTTTTTCTTTCTTTCTTTTTTAAAAGGTTACAAAGTTAAAACCAATTTTTTTTGGTCCAGGAGATTATGTTTGTCGCAAAGGTGATATTGGAAAAGAAATGTATATTATTAAACGTGGTCAATTAGGTGTTGTAAGTGATGATGGAAAAACAACATTTGTTGTACTTAAAGAAGGTTCTGTTTTTGGTGAAATATCTATTTTAAATATTCCTGGTATTCTTTTTACAATTTTCTTTTGAAATATTTACTAAGTTTTAATTTTTTTAAGGTTCCAAAAATGGAAATCGTCGTACAGCTAATGTTAAATCTTTAGGTTATTCTGATTTATATACATTAACAAAAGAAGATTTATGGCTTGTACTTGATAATTATCCTGAATCTTTATCAAAAATAATTGAAAAAGGTAAATCAATATTACGTAAAGATAATCTTCTTGATGAATCACTAATGGATTCAAAACGACATGTTGAACACGAACAATTATTAAGTATACAAAATCGTATTAAAAAATTAATTGATACAGAAAAAATATTAAATAATCGTATAACAACATTTTTCGATGGATATGTTGAATCAATACGACAATTTAAACAACAATTATCAAAAATGGAATATCAATTTGGAGCAAGAAAACAAAGTATATCTTTATTAACGAATGTACCAATGTCAGCACCAGCAGTTCCATTCTTTTTAAATCAATGGAAATCAAATACTGCAATTAATTTACTTAAATTTAGAAGTGTACAATCTATGGAACTTGATGATTAATAATGTTAGACTGACAATTTTCTTGACTTTCATGTTGAATATTGTCTTATAAAAATTTCTTTTCTTTTTAAATAATAAACATATTGGTATTGCGATCGAAAATTTAATCATTGGCTATCAGAAAGATCCGCTTGGTCTTCGAATTATGATTCATCATAGGTAGAATGGACAAAAAGAAGAGATAGAGAATAGATATATACATGTATAAAGACTTGTTAATATGATAATTCTTTTATCTTCGAATAATAAGATGTACAAATATCTTTCGTATAATTCAATTCGTATTTAAATTCTTTTTTTAGATCTTCATCAAATCGTTTTTATCAAGATCGACAAAAACGGTTGTTTTTCATCTTCAATAATGCTTCTTAGTGATGTCGACAAATTAACTTATCGAGAATTACAACTTGAATTAAAATCTCGAAATTTAAAAGCAGCAGGTAAAACTGAAGTACTTCGTGAACGTCTTCGACAAGTATTAATAAATAATAATGAAGATGAACCAATGTCAGATTATTTTGATGAATGTTCGATTTGTTTGGATAAATTATCATTTGATAAAAGAACAACAATTATTACAACATGTTTACATCAATATCATCGTATTTGTCTAAAAAAATGGATTGAATCAAATGGTGAATTTTCACTTTGTTGTCCCCTTTGTCGACGTTCATTAGCTAATGATCGACATATTGAACAAGATGAAGATAAAAAATCCATCGTGTAACAAAACATAATAAAAGATCTTTATTTCGGTTTCTTAATATTCTTCATATATGGATCTCTAAATCTTTGTTTCTTTGTTTTCTTTCTTATTATTTTTTTCTACCGATGTTAAACTTTTTTTTTTCTTCCCTATTCCTTGTGACTGAAAATAATAGATCATATATATATAAATATAGTTTTTTTTTTTTTTTTTTTTTGGTTAATCATAAAGCTGCATATGAACGTATACGCAATGTGATTGATATTAGTTTTTTTTTCTTCTGTTCTGTAATACTAGGATAATTTTGTAAGGAAAATCAAATAAAAAACAAAACACACTTTTCAATATTTTGAATGATCATCTGTTTTTTTTTTATCTAGACAGATAAATGAGAAAAGTTTTCATTTATAATTTTCGTGTTGACGAAAAAACAAGGATTGTTATGCTTTTTCATACGCCATCTGTAATTTCGTATTTTTCATTCGTCAATGATACTACTCAATGTAATATGATGAGTAGAACGAAAAAATAAACAAAATATTTTAAGTAAAAAAAGAAAAAGAAAAACGTATGAAAATTTTATGACGTATTCATTAAATATTCTGAAATTGTTTCTTCAAATTAATTTTTATTTTTCTTCTTAGGCGATACATTAATCGAAAATATCAGCATATTTTATGAATCAGCATTCAGTGTGGGAATTTTTTTCATGTACTACGGTGAGTGTCATTAACGAAAATTATATTTATTTTTTGAATTTTTTTTAGAATATTTTTTGACCCTATCTGACCAAACCAAGGCTAAGAATCAGCCATAATTAACAAGGCTCAATCGTTTGTCACATTTTACTGAACATCAGCATTTGTTTTCTTTTTATGTTTATTCGTTTGAAAATTTTTTTCTTGCTTTTTTAACACTTAGAAAGACAGTGATAAAGGAAACGTTGGCATTGTTTTTCTTTTGATCTTGTCGTTACTCATTCGTCTTCGATACGCTTTTTGTATGAAAAATGAATATTATTACATCTTGTTTCAGATATTATTTTTCTGGTTTTCTTTTTCATTCTTATCAAAAAGCAAAAAAACAAGTTTTCTAAAATAAAAACACAATGATTAAATCACAATCACAATCAACATCAATAACAAATCCAAGAGCAGATGGTGAACTTTGTAGAAATGCTTGTGGTTTCTATGGAAATAAAATATGGGATGGATTTTGTAGTAAATGTTATCGAGAAGTATATCAACAAGCAAAACAAATTCAAGAAGTATATGA